AATACAAAGGAGATAATTCTCCTTCTTCCTTCTTAATACTTGCATCGTAAAACAGAATCCTAAGAATCATATCTGTTATATGATTCGTCCTTCATTCTAGGCTTTTTATAACTTTGTTATTTATTTGTTATTAGTTAGGATTTGTTTAGTTTGTTGAGGTTTATAAGGCCACTGCTGCTGTATATATTAGGATTTGTTTAGTTTGTTGAGGTTTATAAGGCCACTGCTGCTGTATATATATTGTACCTTCATGATAGCAATGGAATCAGATTACAATTCATATTCTTCAATATTTCTTTATGGTATCAGAGCTTTAAAGTGCTCTCACAAGCCAAAGCTTTTTTTTTCTTTTTCCTCTCCTCTTTGCCATGGCTGCTCTAGTTATCAATGCTGATTCTTCATCCTAATATCAGTCTATTTTTCAATTCAATCCCACTGCTCAATTACCTATCAAATTGAGTGGAAGTTCCAATTTCACTATTTGGAAAGCTCAAATTGAGATGCTCATGTATGGTCACAACTTATACGAACATCTTGATGGATCAACTGTAGCCCCACCACAAACTCTTTCCACTACTAATCAACCAAACCCAGCTTATCATCAATGGTTTCGTCAAGATAAGCTCATCCATAATGCACTTTTGGCATCTGTTGATCCTACTATTGCATCACCTGTTGCTCTTTCACTTACTGCTCATAAAGCATGGCAATCTTTACATACAGCTTTTGCTAACAAAGCTTTTGCTAACAAAAATCGCTAACAAATCTCAAACCAGAATTCTCAGCCTTCAAGATAAATTAGCTCGCTTTACCAAAGATTCTCGCCCTATTGTTGATTATCTTCGTGAAATCCGTTCTATTGCTGATGAACTTGCAACTGCTGGTGAACCACTCACCAATTCTCAACTTGTTGTTCGAATTTTGCAAGGACTTGGCTCTGACTACAAATCACTCTCTGCTGCGATTCGATCTCGGGACACTACCATCTCATATGAAGAACTCTATGACAAACTTCTTGATCATGAATTGTTTCTTCAACATGAAGAGCCAAAATTAAATCCTGCCATTACAGGAGCCAAAATTAAATCCTGCCATTACAGTTGTGGTTGCTACAAAGCCCAATTCCACCTCACATCATTCTACTGGACAAAGGACATCAAATTACAATTCTGAGCAATCATCTTCATGGCGACAACAACAGTTTTCAACTCGAGGGCGTGGCCGACGCTTTAATCAACAACGAACCTTTGACAATCCAATTCGCTGTCAAAACTATGTGATCGACCAGGTCATACTGCTCGTGTCTGCAGGTCTGAATCTCATAATCATCTTCAAGCAAGAGCAAACTTTGCAGCCTCATATTCTCAGAATCAACAACCTTGGCTAATTGATTCAGGTGCTAATCATCATATCACCAATGACGCTAAGACATTAGCTACAGCTAATGACTATCATGGGCCAGAAGAAGTCACTATGGGTAATGGTAATTCTATAAGGATTAGTCACATTGGTACTGGTACACTTAATGCATCAAATAATAATTTTCAGCTCTCTAATACTCTTTGTGCTCCCAAAATCACTCATAATCTTGTTTCTGCTTCTCTTTTTTGTCGTGACAATAATACTTCTATTCAACTATTTCCTTATCATTTTCTTGTGAAGGATCTGACGATGGGCGTGCACCTGGTACAAGGACAGACTAGAAATGGACTGTACGAGTGGCCTCGAAATAATATGCACAATGTTCACACCTTCTCAGCAGTCACATCTCAATCTCTTGATATGTGGCATCGTCGTCTAGGTCATCCCAACAAACGTGTATTGGTCATCCCAACAAACGTGTATTGTGTCAAGTTTTAAAGGATTTGTCTATTTCCTTATCATTCTCACTTTGGCAAATGTAATTCTGTTCTATTACATAAAATGCAATCGCCTCCTTTTTTTTTTTTAAAATTCTTTGCATATTAATAAAATGCATCGCCTTCCTTTTTTTGAAAATTCTTTGCATAGTGAAAAACCACTCCAAATTGTTTACAGTGACTTATGGGGACCTTCTCCCATTCTTTCCATTGATCAAAAGAAATATTATGTTGTTTTTGTTGATCAGTTCTCACGGTACATGTGGATTTACACTCTCAAAACAAAAGCCGAAGTTCATAGTGTCTTTACAAGTTTGCATCCTCTCCTAGAGTGACGTTTTAACACCAAACTTTTATCTCTATATACTGATGGCGGTGGTGAGTTTCAGAGTCTTTCTTCCTATCTAAAAACACATGGAATTGAACATCTCATTTCACCTCCATACACTCCCCAACGTGTTGCACTTGTTGAACGACGACATCGTCATCTTATTGAAACTGCTAAAACATTAATGTCTCAGGCATCTCTTCCATCTCAATTTTGGAGTTTTGCTTGTACCCACGCTGTTTATATCATCAACAAGTTACCCACCCCTGTTTTAAATGGAAAATCTCCGCTTCAGCTTTTATTCCAAGCAATCCCAAATCTAGCCTCACTTCGTACCTTTGGTTCATTGTGTTATCCGTGGCTCTGGCCGTATACCAAACATAAACTAGAAGCTCGGTCCACACCATGTGTTTACTTAGGTTTTTCAACTAAATATTATTGTCATCAGTGTTATGATCCGATTTCGTCTAAAATATACCTCTCTCGTGATGTCTTATTTTTTGAGAATAATTTTCCTTTTAGTAATATTTTCTCTCATTTAAAATCAAATTTTCAGCTTTGTAAATGGGAGAATCTTACTGAACATAATTCTGTCACGTCACAAACACTGCATTACCTTAATCTACTGAATTATTGCCTGCTATTATTTCGATGCCGTCTGCTCCTGTTTCTGCTGCTCCAATCAGGTCTATACTTCCAGTGTCAGGTACTTCTACCTCTTCTTCTGAAACTACACACACTCACAGCCCTCAACCCGCCTCACCCAATGAAACACTAAACGTTCAAAGTCATCATCCAGCCCTACCTGTTGTTCCTCCCACCACTACAAATTTTCATCCTATGGTTACCCGTGCTAAAAATAATATCATTAAACCTAAATTGGTTCATTCTCTTCTTGCTTCTAGTATGATTCTCATACCTCCTACTACCTATAAACAAGCACAGAAATATTCTCACTGGAATACATACAGTAATGAAAGAGATTTGATACTTTACGTTCGTAACCAGACTTGGGATCTTGTTGCCTGCTCCAATCCTAATCTGAATATTGTTGATTGCAAATGGTATTTATCGCATTAAAATATAAACGGAATGGACAATTGGACAGAAAATTTCAAAGCCCGGTTAGTTGCTTAAGGGCTTTACCAGAGACCAGGTTATTGATTTTCATTCCACTTTTCAGTCCTATGTGATTAAGCCAAACAACTGTCCGTCTTGTTTTTTGCTCTGGCCACTCAAAATTTAATTGGCCCCTTCATCAACTGGATGTCAATAACGGCCTTTCTTCAAAGGCACACTAGATGGAAGGATGCTGTATATTGAGACAGCCACTTGGGTTGAAGATTCTTTCGACCTTCTTTGTTTGTAAGTTAAAAAGTTAAAAAAGGCTATTTATGGTTTAAGGAAAGCTCCAAGAGCATGGTACACTACTTTCACCAATTATCTTCTATCTATGGGTTTTAATCAGTCTAAGTCGGACTCATCTTTATTTATCAGGCACAACTCTGGTGTTCTTGTTTATGTGGATGACATTATTGTCACTAGCAATAATCTAAGAGGTGTTCAACATGTGATTAATGGTCTTTCAAATCAGTTTTCTCTAAAAGATCTTGGTAGTTTGAATTACTTTCTCGGTGTTGAGGTCATTCCTTCACCAAAGGGGTTGTTTCTTTCTCAACAGAAATATGTTTTGGACTTGTTGCTAGAGATCTTTCTCAACAGAAATATGTTTTGGAGTTATTGCTAGAGACTAATATGCAGAATTCCAAAGGGGTTTCTACACCTATGAGCTCCAATACTGTTCTCACAGTGTCTCTTCCAGAAGATATTGTTGATGCTTCTTTCTATCGGCGCATTGTAGTAAACTTCAATATTTGTCCTTTACCAGGGCAGATATTGCTTTTTCTGTTAATAAACTTGCCCAGTTTATGCATTGTCCTTCTAATGATCATTGCCGGGCTCTCAAGCGTTTACTACGGTATCTCCAACAAACTGCTCATTATGCTCTATTTTTATCTCGACAAAGTGACAACAAACTTCGCACTTATTCCGACTCTGACTGGGCTGGGGATCCTGTTGATCGCACCTCTACAACTGGTTATTGTTTGTCTATATTGCGTTCCAGCCTCATTTCCTGGGTCTTCTAAGAAGCAACGGCAGGCTGTCAGTCTTCGACCCGAAGCTGGAATTGTGCCGTTGCTGCTGCCTTGGCTGAAACCAAATTGGATTTACGGAATTTTCATTACAGAACTGCAGTTTCCTCTAGCTGCAAATACCGCATATCTTCTGTGGATAATTTGTACTACCTTTCTTTGTGAAATCCTGTTTTTCATAGCCAAATGAAGCATATTTGCTATTGATTTTCACTTTGTTCGTGACCAAGTTCAAGCAAGAAAGTTCATGTTTGTCTCTTCATGTGCTGATCAGTTGCAGGGACTTGCTCACTAGCCTTTTGCCGCGTCGGGCCTTTTGATCAGCTTTTTTACCAAGTTATCAGTTGTTGCACTTCCTGATCTTACTTGAGGGGGGTGTTAAAAACAAGATTCCTAAGAATCAAATCTGTTATATGATTCGTCCTTCATTTCTAGGCTTTTTATAACTTTGTTATTTATTTGTTATTAGTCTAGGCTAGGCTTTTTATAACTTTGTTATTTATTTGTTATTAGTTAGGATTTGTTTAGTTTGTTGAGGTTTATAAGGCCACTGCTGCTGTATATATATTGTACCTTCATGATAGCAATGGAATCAGATTACAATTCATATTCTTCAATATTTCTTTACATCGAAGTGATGCTCTTATTACACCACACCATTATATTATGTTTTTCACATCCTTAACACTTCAAAGGCAGAAGACAACCTTGTTAGTTAACAATCGCATTATTATGCTTATAACATTGTTAACATGGAGTTCCTTACTTCCTGTTAATGTTCAAGGGCAGAAGACAACCTTATAATTAGTACCTCCAGGGCAAGTAAATGTGCTGGTCTGATCATCTTTAGGATAACTATAAGCATCTCTGCATCTATCCTTGAAGAACCTTGAATAATCTGTAGGTCCACAGTTTCCACTGTTGCAACAATACTGATCGGTTTTAAACACAGTACAAGGATTATTACACCCTCCAGGTGCCCTTAACACATTAGGACACTGTCCGTTTATATCAGCAGTACATCTAATTCCTCGACTACATCCACCAGATGTTGGACTAAAGTCCATTGGGACATTAAATCCATCAACAAGAGATATGTCGAAGAAATCCAAATTATTGAATTGATTTAGGGCATATTCTGCCAGGGTATTTGGTGGTTGGCCGTAGCCTTGGCATTGGAGTACACCGCCGCAGTCACCAGTTTGACATTGGCCTCTACCGGCTCCGTCAAAACGACACTTGGTTCGAGCCCATATACGAGCTGCTTTAGTACCAGGATTCACATTGAGAGACCAGCTTTGGTGAGAGTCAAGTTGTCGGCCACCGCCAGGCACAGCGGCTGCCCAAACAGTGTAAGGACAGTTGTTTGTGATAGCAAAAGTGGCTGCATGAACTGAAGTGAAACTGAAACTGAGACCAACTAAAATAAAGAGAACTGTGCGAGTTTTTTTGAGGAAGATCATTTTGGATTAGATTAATTTGCGAGTAGTTATGCAAGTTTGGAGGGGGAATGGGTTGCCATTTATAGTGTTCATGAGACATTACTTGCTCTTGTGATAATGGAGAAGAAGAGGATGTATAATAAATTCCTTTGGGTGCAAAGACATTTTTGTCGTCATCAATATCTTTGGAAGATAATGCAAATACTTTTCTTAGTCATTTAGACTTGTTAATTAATTTCTTAGCTGAATCTTGAATATCTGAATTTTTAAATTTCAAAAAAATCATATTGATTAACTATTGTTATTGATTAAATTTTAACTCTAACTTTTTTATTATTGATTTTAAAATATTCAAATAAAAACCTTTCAAAATAATTATACTATATTTCAATAATAAATAAGCATTCAAATACTAACATAAATGCCTGTAGACCAAGTGGGATATGTAGTAAGATGTATTCAAAAGTTAAATCTTTTCCTTCTCAAAAAAAAAAAAAAAAGTCAAAAATATATATTTTTTTTGTTATTTATTTGGTTCGTTGAATGAGCTATGGAAGGATAGTCGGGTAAGTTTCCCCGTTTACGAATTAATCCTCTTATTTCAACTCCAATGGGAATTAAATTTGAAAATTTTTTACAGAAATTCCCTTTTTTTTTTTTTTTTTTTGATATGAAATCTCAATACTAAACTCAGTTCTTGGTGCCATAAAAGATGAAATGAGTAAATGAGTGAATGAGTGGAAGACTTGGAAATATACCGTAGTCTATATAATTGGGAACATGGAAGATAAGAAGTGCTTCCGGTGATGATCCAAGAAGATATTTTTGACCCTGTTAAGGAGAAACAAAATCATGTTTTTGAAATACCCCGAATTTTTATTTTCGAAACTCTTGAATTTTTATTAAATCAAAAATCAGAAATTTTGATCGGGTGGGCTGTAAGTAGAATAAAATCTCCATTCGAGCCCAAGTTTGCGAGTTGGGCCTAAGCCCAAATATATCATCGGAATTTTTCGATTTGAGAAAACAGTTTAAAATTTTGAGAAGTAATATGAAAACTGCAGCAATTTAATCTAATGAGAATAAAATAATTACCTGAAATTCAAAATATTGTTACTATTAATATTTTTATTATATGAGTTAATGGAGAAAGTTATGGGAACCTAACTAAAACAATTCGAAATTAAATCGAACTGAACCCGAAAATCGAATTGATTTTTTTCGAAAAAACCCACACGAATAGCTTGAGAACCAGTTTGGAAGAAAACCCGGAGAATTAAGTTGAAAATCAAGTAAAATCATTCAAATTAGACCAAACCGGTTTGAATCGAACTGGGAATGGCCTAGAATTTTGCTAGAAACCGCCTCCTTCTTTTTCTTCTCTTCTTCTCTCCTGCGCGAACTCACCGCCCCGAACTCACCGCCCCCCCCTCCCCTCTCTCGTTTTCCAATCACCTGAGACCAGTGCCTTCGACCACCACTCCTCCACCTCCAGTTTCCTTTTCTCTCTGTTTCCGCTGGCGCAGCAAAGGCGAGCTGTGCTATTCCGATCGGCACAGCCTCCTGCAGCTCCTCTCTTCGATTCTCCGACAAGATCAACCAAGGACCGGTCGATTAGACCCTCCTCATGACGCTAATAGCTTTGTTGGCCACAGTCCTCGTCAGTTCCATCCAAGTTCGCACCAACAGTATCGGTTTTGAGCATTCGAGCTATTTTCGATCATTTTAACCGGAAATATTCAATTTTCCACACATTCTATAGCTAGGTAAATTGATTTTTGACCCTATTTCAGTATATTTTCATGAATTCTTTGATTATAGTTTAAGAATGAGTGTAGCATGATTATGACTGCAATTATTATTGCTAATACTTAGGCTATTGCAGAAATTTATATATATCTATAGCTACTGTTTTAGGTAGAATGGGATTTAGATTTCGAACTTTTTGCTTTTGAATGGTTATATAAAGTGATTCCTATATGCGATGGTTACATTATTACATTTATTATTAAATCATTGTGAAGAATTTAGCATTCTTTAGTTGAAGGTAGCTAGTTTAGCTATTATTGTTCAAGCCCTTGTTATCCTATTGAAGGAATTATTTAACTTGTTTCCATTTTGAATGAGTTATAAACTAAATTATTAAGAAATGTGGCAAACCATGGATATATCGGTGGGTTTAAATAGAAAAATTAAATAGAAAACTTTGAAGCCCTTGAGCGAGCAACAATTTATTTAGTTGATTTCTTAAATTGTAGTGTTTTGGCCGGATGAGTATGTGAAGTCGTAAACCAGGTTCTTGATGCGGTATAAGCTTAAGTTTAGGAAACTATATTATTGTTGGTGGACAGCAGCTATTTCGGATACTTCGTACCATTTTATATAATCGGCATGGAAACAAATATATGTATGTATTGATATATTTAATACTCTTATGTCGGTTACCGCTTGATAACAATATTCTTGCTAAATTAACAATTCAAATATAAAACTTTAGCTATATTCTAGGAAGTTAGTATTTTTATGCCAAAGACAGGAAAATTGATATGCCTTAATTATATGTTTTAAGTTGCGAGGTTGGGTTACTTAGTGTGCATTAGTTTCAGTGACTAATGTAGAGTTTAATAACAATGTTAAAACCTTGACAAGAATGATCGGTAATATGTTTGGAACAAGTGAAGGTTTTTTTAATTTGCGAAGTATATGGTTGAATGGTGATATTGTTTGTTTTGGAAGGAGGATGGGATTTTTAAATTGACTTGATTGCCCGACGGATGGGCTGTGTGCATTGATTTGATAAAGATATAATAATATTGTGGATATTTGTGAGCAGGTAGATAGTTTTCAAATGGGAGGTGCTGCCGAAATTTTGATAGAACTTAGACTAAATTTTAATTAACAACATAATTAATAAGTTTATTTAGATTAGTTCTATAATTTGGTACATAATTGTCACGATCCGATTCTGTGGGCCGGACTGGCACTAGAGCCCAGGTAAGCTTAAGGCCCCCGAGGCCCGTAGTAAGCCTAAACTACTCTACTAACACCAGTCACACTAATAAACAGGAACAGTAAGTCCATACAAATTAGGATACAGATATTATGCAGTTTGGCCCAATTTCAAACATCTCAATTAAAGTCAAGTTTGGGCCTAGTCATGACAAGTCACATTTATAAAATAACGCATACTGTAAAATCCAATTGAAATACACAACCCTATAACTGCGAAGTTCAACAACATTTAGGAGATGGAAAAGTGTACATATTTAATAACACAGTCTAACTCATAATAACAAAAGTTATGGATTTACTTTTTGTAGCTCTGCGAGGAAAATGACAGAGCTTCGGTTGGATCAACAGCTTCCTATTACCTGAGAAGTTTGGAAGAAAAAGGGGGTGAGTTTTGCAACTCAGTGAATAATAATAAATAATACACACCACATACAGTCACGCAAAATGCGTCCTAATATACTGAATGAACACACAACAATGGAAAAAAAAAAAAAAAACAATGAGGGATTGGTTAGTGAGGATTTAGACCAGTGGCCGTATGGGGGATTGGCTCCTGGTGCACATGTATGAGAGGGCGGAGCCACTGTGTGAAGGACGGCTCGTGGTTTCAGTTGCGCCACCGACTAATTTTCACGTCCACGTGATGTGATTATATGAAGATGTTTATGATTGTGAGTGCTGGTGATATGCCATTTGTGTGACTGGCTGCGTGAGCATATAACTAGTCGGGTGACTAGATTAATATGTGTACACATTTGTGTGACTGTGTGTGTTGTGCAATAATTATTACTCCTTAGAAAACTCACACGTCTTGTTTGATTTTTCAGGAAGTAAGTTTTTCTTTAATCCGGTTTAGACTATGTTTCTTCGGCGCAGAGCAATAGAGAAATTTTCCTAGTTCTATAATTATTTCACTATGTAATTATGTGTATAAAAAGCTATGTATACTAAAGAGTTACAAACAGTTAGTGACTCCGCAGTTTGTAGAATTACATACACTAGTCGATGTTAGTAATACAGATGATAGTAATTCTGTTAGCCCATATTAAAAATGTATTGTATTGGTAAAATGGGGCTCGAACTGTGAAATGTTTTTGAGATGATTAAATTGCGGCCGGATATAATAAAAATTTTGAAATATATATTGAGATAATTTAGATTTTTTAGTGATTTCAGGCTTTACTACGGGTTCGGGCCTTAAAGCTTAACCTGGGCCCTAGTGCCGGTCCGGCCCATGGAAACGGGTCGTGACAGTTTTACAAAAAAAAAAAAAAAAAAGAAAAAAAAAAGAAGATAATTGTTAAAAAAAAAAAAAAAAAAAGAAAAAAAAAAGATAATTTTTGTTATGAAATAAATGAATATCCTATAATTTTTGTACCCTTAATTATTACGAACTCTATTTTTTTGATTTGTGTAGGACTCTGTTAGAGTTCCACTTATATATATATGTGTGTGTGTGTGGCTTCTCAATAATAATGATACTCTCGTATTTTTTCATATTTTGCTCTCTATTCCTTCTTTTTCTTCTGTTAGTTTTATATTATTTTATAAGAATGTTAAGCATTAACCAAAAGTATATGTAGTTTTTGAATTAAAAATTATACCTGATATACTTAATTTTTATTTTTAATAATCAAAGAAAGAAATATGATATTTCCTTCATTCCATGTGTTAAGTTGTTTTAAGGTGATTGTTAGCGTTTTGATTATTTTAACAAGTAATATACAATCTTTTTTCTAATTTACCCTTATTTATATTAGATATAATAATTATTTTACAAATTACTTTGGTTTTGAGATAAAGATAATTTGATTAAATTAATTTTGATTGTTGTTAATAATTTAATAATATAAATAATGTTACTTACCAAAAGATTTCAAAAACATGGCATAAAAAATCAAATTAATAAAATATAATATTTCAATTACATATTTTATTTAAATTAATTATAGTAATTTTTGGATTGATAATATATCAAAAGATTATCCATTTAATAAAACACAAATAAATAACT